GTAATTAATCATGGAATTTGACATACCAGAAGGTAATGCAGGAATGGGGATTTTCTCTGTGAAATGCTTGCTAGGGCATGGCTTCCTCTATTCCTAACGGGGTAAGCAACAAGAAAACAATAAGATTGCTGACCCTAGAACAGTCACATCTATAGAAAACATTTTACTAGTTATAGCATAATAAGCCACTGTATGGTAAATCACATCCACCTTACTTATTTAGCCATCTTAAACTAAGAAAGAAAAATTAAACCAGGAACATTTTTAGTGACTAAATGCCACATACGTGTACAAGGGCCCACTGAGAACAGTTTAGCTCCATCCTCTTTGAAACTACCCTTCAGGTAGTTGAAGGCTGCTATTAAATCCCCTCTCCATGTTCTCTTCTCCAGACTAAATAAGCCCAGTTCCCTCACAACTTTCATTGCCCTGTGCTGGACTCTCCCCAATTTGTCCACATCCTTTCTGTAGTGGGGGGCCCAAAACTGGATACATTATTCCAGATGTGGCCTCAACAGTGCTGAATATACAGTCCATTCATTCAACCTGGACTTCCTTAGCTTGCTTGTGAGAATGTTGTGGGAGACCGTATCAAAAGCCTCGTTAGGATCAAGCTCTCTAACTGCTGTTCACTGCTCTCCCAGCATCTATTGAGCCTGTCATCTCATCATAGATGGCAATCAGGTTGGTCATACGTGACTTGCCCTTGCTGAATCCATGCTGACTGTTCCTAATCACCTTCTCCTCCAAGAGCTTAGAAATGGATTCCTTGAGCACTGCTCCATGGTTTTTCCAGGGACTGAGGTGAGGCTGACTGGTCTGTAGTTCCCCAGATCCTCCTTCTTCCCTTTCTTAAAGATTTGCCCTTTTCCAATCATCTGGGACTTCTTCCAATCATCACGAGCTTTCAAAGATGATGACCAATGGCTCTTCAATCACATCCACACAAACTCCCTCAGCATCCTTTGGTGCATTTTGTCCAGCCCCATGGACCTGTAACTATTAGGGACTATTTTCTAAGTAGTCCCCAACCTGTTCTTTTGCCACTGCCAGTTGCTCACCTCCTCCCCAAACTGTGCTGCCAGATGCAGTAGCCTGGGAATTGACCTTGCCTGTCAAGACTGAGGTAAAAAAGGCATTGAGTAGTTCAGTCTTTTTTGCATCCTGATTTCATCCCTGCATGCCCTAGCAATACTCTCATACTCCTTACAAGTTTCCACATCTTGTAAGCTTCCTTTTTGTGTTCTAGCTCATTAAAGGAGTTCCCATCTAAGCTAAGCTGGTCTTCTGCTAAACCATCTGCTAGTCTTCCTGCACATTGGGATGGTTTGTCCCTGTACCCTCAATAAGTTTTCTTTAAAGTACAGCCAGCTTTCCTGGTTTCCCACTCAAACGGTCCTCCCAGGGGATCTGGCCTATCAGTTCCCCGAGTGAGTGGAAGTCTACTTTTCTGAAGTCTTGAGGCCCTGCCTCTGCTGCTCTGTTTCCTCCCTTTCCTCAGGATCCTGCACTCAATTGTCTCATGGCCACTGCTGCCCAAGTTGCCATCCACTTCTATATTTCCCACAAATTCATCCTTGTTTGTGAGCAGCAGGTCAAGAAGAGCACAGCCCCTAGTTGGTCTCCTCAACACTTGAACCAGGAATGAATAGTTACTCTAGCTTCTAATTCTTTACTCAGCTGATATTTTGAATATAATGTTTTCTTGCATTAGAAATACTACAGTGTACGTGTATATATTGAGTTACATTTTATGGCTTTTGCAGGGTTGCCAACTCAAGAAATTTTTCTTACTGACAATCTGAAACTTTCTACTGACAAACAAACTTTTTTTCTGATACATTTTTATTAATGTGCTTTATATCATGTAAATGCAACTTTTCTGCCAGACCTTATCCTGCTGCCAAGCCCCAATTAGAAGAGCTGGGTTCAAATATAGGGGTTTACACCATCCACAGTAAAAAAAAGATACAAAGTTTGGTTGTCAGTAAAAAGTTTGCATTTTTTAAAATTCAGTTGGCAACCCAGTTTGATTGCAGCAGTGGTTTTACACTGCAACGTCCCCCCAAGGGGTTCCCTACTCACTCCCACACCCTGATGCCCCCAACCACACCCTGCACCATGCTGTACCCCCACCTGGGCACCCCAAAGCCTTACCCCTGCCAGTCCCACTTCCCCCCCTCTCACCTCTACCCCCATTCCAGCATAGGCCTCTAAAGAACAGTCACTGTCTGCCTACCTGTCACCCAGCAGTGTTCCAGGCAGACACAGCAGCAGCACTACCACATGGCTGGAGGTTGGGGAAGGAGCTATGGAAAATTCTGTCAACCACAAAGCCCTGATAAGAGTTCCCTTCAGGGTGCTGTACTCCTGCTCAGCCACCAAGTGGCACTGCTATGAATCATATGCTGTCTGTGCTTCAACACTGCACCCTGCTTTTTTCTGACTATGAAACTTCAATTAGCTCTGACTGCTTAGTGTTTTTATGGGTGACTCATTTGAACTGACATTACAGATCTGTGTTTGTAACCTGAATTTTTGCTGACCGTCTGTACATTTATGGACAGTTGCAACCCTGGGTTTTTTATACTATGCAACTATGCTGGGTTCTGTCTACATCAGTGGTGTTTCACTTTTTGGCTCTGTGGGTCAGAGGAGTGACACAGGACTGTCCATGGGCTAGAATGAGCCCTACCTGCCAGCTCCACTCCCTCCCTACACCACGCCCCAGAATTGGGATCCGGGGCCTGGTGCCACCCCTTCCAGCCCCTGTATGACAGGTTTTGGCCCCAGAGGCCTTGCACCACCCCTTCCTGCTCCCTACATCAGGATTAGGTCCTAAGGCCAAAGTGCAGCCATGATGTGTTGGGATTGCGTACTGCCTGGGACATGGCACCACCCCCACCTAGCCTTGCACACCACACTGGGACTGGGTGCCTTTTCCGGCATGCAGAACCTGGGTTCCCTGTGGGTCTGGTTGGTTGGCAGCAGGGGAATGGTGGCACCACTCCCCTGCCACCAAAGTTCCAGACCCATAGGGAGCCCTGAGGGTTGGATGATATGGTGCTGCAGGTCAGATATAGCCTGTGGGACAGGGGTTGAATACCCCTGGTCTAAATAATTAGAAAATAACACTTTAAACTAAACTAGCCAATAGGCAATTTAAGAAATAAATCACTATAAAATTCCTCCCTGCACTGATCTTTCTATGTGGAAATAATGCATGCAGGACCAAACTGGACAACTGTCATAGCTAGTACTACTCTGCTCTCACTAGAAATGGCCCTATACTATTGTATTTATTCTGACACTGCTGATCATGCCGTTTGAAATTAGATGTCAAACATGACTGCATCCAAGGATTTTACAATAATTCAAAAGCTTAGGCAAGCAGTAAACATTATTGTGATAGACATCAATGTTTCAGATCAGGCAGGCAGTCCCTCAAAAAAAATATGATTCGCTATTTCCAGGACACAAGATAGGAGAATGAGAATGGATAAAATAGAAACCATATGGCCCTCTGCACTGCAGATGAAGGACGTTTCAAATGCTTTCCATTCATCACTGAAAAAAACAGAATAAAGGAAATATTCAGAGGAGAGTGATTAATGTGTTAATTTACTTATGAACAGTCATAAAAGAATCTCCTTATGATTATATATGCATATATGTGTAGTATTTGACACAATCTGCCACTGAACAAATCGTAACCATCTTGGAAATGTACAGCTAATTAATTACTTTTTAAAAATTTGGTGGTATAAAGGGTGGCTTATAAAATGAATACAGATGATCAAACAAAAGCTAGCCTAAAAAGGAGGCATAACAACCAGGGTTTGTGCCTGGTACAGTAGCAGTAGCAGGGCTGGCAATAAGAGCTGGGCCAGTGACGGTGACAGGGCCAACATCCACAACAGCTGGAGCTCCTGTGACCTGTCTAAGTGGGTGCCTGAGGCTGGTGCCTTGGTCTTTCACTTCTTATTATGCTACTGTAATGGGAGCAGATAGGGGTTTGGTAAGGGAGCATGGAGCCATGTATTGTTAGATCACCATTGAAATCCTTCCTGTGATTGACCCACTAACAGTGGTTTAGTAGCAAGCACAACATGAGCTACCAATCATAGGCTAGTTTATAGTGGATAAATCCTCCATTCCAACATCAGAACTGGCCCTTCTGTCATAGCGTTAATAGAGTAGAAATAGATATAAATAAATATGGAGATTGAACTGCCTTTGGAGTTGTAAAAGCAGGACAATCAGCAGTACAGGACTGAAACCAATTGCCAGACCATCATGGAAGATGAGTCATTTCAAACATATCTAAAATATTAGCATTATCACAAGAGGGCTATGACTGGTATAATGCAGTCTGAGTATGTGGCTTAGTTTGACTTACCGTGCCTTCTAAGCAGTAAAAAGTTAATTATTCATGCTCAAAAGACACTATCCTGACTCAGTAAAATTCACTAATGTTGATATTAGAGCACTGACTGCTGAGAATCCTGACCAGAGAATTCTAAATGTCTTTTCTAACATCCCTTTAAATCAGTGATTCTCAACCAAGTTGCCATGAGATCCTTTTAAAGGTGCTACACAATATTAGCACTGTGAGGTGTGAAACTTCCTACATGCGATTCATAAGATAAACCCAGAGATTTTGAGTAGGAATCCATAATGTCAAAAACTTTCTGACTTGTTCTGGTCTGAGTTCTTTACCATGAGAATTTCTCTATCATTTTTCTGTAGTTAAAAGATAGTGAAAGCTAAGGGCTGGCATATCTGAAGTGTTCCTTGAGCCCAAAAAAGGTTAAGAATCACTGCTTTATAGTTAGTAGTTGGAATCTACCAAGTGTTTCCAGAAACTCTGTATAGCACTCTCTCAGTTCTGTTGAAATCAAATCCCATGTATCAAGTAATCATTTGTTGGGGAATGTGTCCTTTTTAAACTTTTCCCCATGTATTCATCTGGTATTCATTTTTCCTTTTTTATAATTTAGGCTCGTCCAAAGGGAGAAGGCCTGACTCCATACCAGGGCAAGAAACGCTGCTTTGGTGAATACAAATGCCCCAAATGCAAGAGAAAATGGATGAGTGGAAACTCCTGGGCTAACATGGGACAAGAATGTATCAAGTGTCACATCAATGTTTATCCTCACAAACAGGTAGGGTAGCTGCAGAGGTAAAGAAATCAAAAGAATTCTGGTTTCTGACTTGAAAGTGGGAAAGCGCCCAAAGTGTGATTCTGCACAAGAGAGCAAAGAAAAGCTTGGTCAGTTGCAAGATTTAATTTTGAATGAACACGAACAACAAGCAATTTCTATTTCTCTATCAATAGCAGCAGTTCCCAAACTCTGACAGACTGTGCACCACCAATTTAAAACAATACAACCTTAAGTACCACTAGCAATTTTTTGTCATATAAAATAATCATAATAAATCTGTTACCGTGTACCACTGACAGGTTGTCTGAATACCATTGGTGGTACGCATGCCACAGATTAGGAGCCACTGATCTGTGGATTTGTTGCACAAGTATATGCAAACATCAGGATGTTTGCAGTCATTTTGTATATAACAAGGCTCCGTGCTGAGTCTCCAGGCAACTTGCCTATGATATCCTCTGAATTGAGTGTTTAATTCTTCAATGAAGGTTTCCCAAGAGCAAGAACTATCTTTGTACAAAACTCAGCAAAGTGTGATTCCAACTTCCACTAGTAATTTAGGATGTTACAGTAAAAACTGAATGTTAACTAGCAAGGGTCTCCTAATGTTGATGCTAGTTTTGTTATTTAGACTGGTTTCATACCTTTTTAACCCAAGTGACTTCAGTTATACCCAAATTACACTGTTTTCTTTTCTCCAAAGAAATGCATTTGAACATTTTTTTAAGATTAAAGAGATGATCCCCACTCACTATATCCTTTTAGGATGCAGATAGATATAACATTTGAAACAGGGTGGGGGAAGCAGAGCCAACTGCCAGGGTGGCTCTGCAGTCCCCCTCTCCCAGGGCCTGTGACACCGGGATGTGTGTACCTCCCTACATTTCACCCTTTGGAGCACTTCAAAGCACTTGACATGTGATATTTGTCTCCAGCCTCAGTTAAACAGAGCAAAGCAAGAATTAATTCACATTTCACTAGTAGCAAACAATGTCACAAGAAAAGAAAGTAGCAGGGAAGAGCTTTATAATGCATTCCCAGGTTAGACTTACTGGTATTATCTTGGCTACTGGTTTACCTTCTAAGCCCCCAGCATCCCAAAACCAGAGATGGACACACATAATAATTAGTTTAGTGCTTTTGATACCTGGGGTGGACAGACAAAGCTTGTTAAACTGGTTTAAAGCTGTTTAGAAATGTCCAAAAGTGTATTCAAGAAATAAAGTACTGTTTTGTATTAGTTCAGCATTATATGTGGAAAACAGAGTTCTGTGACACAGGTCGGTTACTCCTCCAAGCATCCCGTACTGCATTACTCCTTCCCCCTTTCCCTACCCACACACACAACAGGTCTTTCTTAGAATTATGCAACCAGAACTATACTGCCACCCCACAGTTTTCCCTTTTTATCACTGAGTTTAAAATAAAATTAGCCTTTCTTGTGACTAGCTGTGCTCTCACTCCCTACTTAACTGTGCTCTTAGCCACTAGGAACCCAAAAGCACAGGTCCCTTTCCCACCAAGTCAGATGGGTACACTGCAGGCTTCAGTTAATTGAAGGCTATTGTAGTTCATTAAACCTAGGTTTAAGGGAAGAGGGAAAGTAGAAAGGTGTAAACCCCAGTGACAGGTCACCTACCCCAGGAACCCGCAAACTATGGGTAGAAGCACTCCGGCACCTCCCTCGCTAAGAGGTCTACTGTACTGGGTGCTCACTCCCACTATCTGCTGTTGAAGCCACAGCACTTCACGCACAGTTGTTAACTGGTTCCCAATCAATGACATTTCATAACGGTTCTGTTCCAGTGGGAAGGTCTTGGCTTTACGCCCACTTTATGGAAATGGGATACTTCTCCCTAGCTTGTTACCTAGCTTGCCTGCTGAGGGCAAGCAAAACTCAAGGGGCATCCGAACCCCAAGCCTCCAGGCTTGGGCCTGCATGTAGGATGACTGGCAAATGATTTGGAAGTATCTGAAGCCCCACGTGGAGGTAGAGAATGTTTGCAGGTAGTAGGACCAAATATGGTTCTTGACTGACTCACGGATTTGGAATTGATTTGGCTGATTTGATTTGGAACATAAAAAATTTTCCTTAAAAAAATAAAAATAAATGTGCAACTGCACCCTGTCCTACAACAGCTGGGAATTAGTTCCCAATAGAAATGAACAACAGGACAATAAGTTTGTTAGAGAATACCGGAACTTTTACATAGTACCTTTTTAGAACATTTTTAGGAAGAACAGATCAGAGAATGATTTGTAAGAAATTTGTGTTGGGTCCATAATACTGATCATAGGACAGTTTCATTATTCTTATTACACTAAGTCATCTAAAAATGTGGTTGGGGGTAGAGTGTTTTGTACTAGAATTAATATAGAGTAGAGTTGGTCAAAAAACTGATTTTCATCCTATTTTAAAAAAATCATTTTTTTTTTAAATCCTAATTTTTAGTCAATTGGAACATTTTGTTCTACACCCTTTTATATTTTAATTTATTCTGTATATAAAAAGAAAGTAAACTTCAACCCCAAAAGTCATTTTTAAATGGAAGCTTTATGTATTACAAATGTCAAGCTGGGACATCTTAGTTTCAAAATGTTTTTCCCCATTTTTTTGCACAATAAAATTGCAAGGATAAAAGATTTTAAAGAAAAATGGAGTGAGAGAGAGAAATTGAGAGAGAGAGAGAAAACAAACAGCACATCATTTTGAACCTGGATTTTCCAATACATAACTGCTTCAATGATAGTTTTTGACCAGCTCTATTACAAAAATTCTAGTCTAGAGGCTGTTCCTGGTCCTAAGAAATGAGGCAAGCACACAGGCAGTATTTGAGCAGTATTATGATGTACTGATTTCATTATAAATTGGCATGAAATATATACGAAAGCAAGTACCTGAAGAAGACAGACCCTAATATTTTACTTTTTAATGACTGGTTATGAACACATGCAAGATACCCCAAGGGAAAAGGTGTTTGCAATTTTGCTATATTGCAGAAAACTGTAATTGATAGTAGAAGTGGGAATTATTTAACAGAATCTTGGAGATTTATTCAACAGCATCTTGGCTGAGTCTTGACAAGAAATGGAGCTGTATTGTGATATAAGGACCTCTATAAAGGATAAACAGAACATTACATTATCTAGTGGAAGAAAATAGGAAAATATGCACAATAGGCCAACCAAAAATGACTGTAACATTTAAAAAGCAAGTCAAATTGATGGTGGATCAACCCCAAAGAATAAGAACTCTCAGACATCAGCAAAGGAGAAGTGACTTGAATTTCATGAGTCTGCCACTCCGTTTGGCCAAGCCTAATGCTGTTTACTCCATGGCTAATATAGATAGCCTGTTGTCCAGAAACTTAGGTCTGTCAAACCATTCATTAGGAATTATAGCAAGAGATATGCAGCAGTGTAATGGATAGCCTGCAACCTAATGTGCCACAGCATTTTGTGCCACTAGACAATCTTCTGACCCACATCACTGTAGACAGTATACAAAAGACCCATAAAAGATCAGTTATAAGCTTTTATATTGTAATTATAAAGCAGTCTGTCATTAGAGCATAAGAATAGTTATATCAGGTAAACCAAAGACCCATCTAATCCAGTACCCTGTTTCCAACAGTAAGACATAACAGCTTTTTTAAAGGAAGAGTGTAATGCTCTTGTCCATTCACATAACAACAGTAGAACAAGGAAGAACATTTTAAAAATATATTTTATTGACTGGCAGCCATGAAAGGCTGCTTCAGGAAACTTCTTGCTTGCCCCAGAGTTCACCTCCCCATTCCCAGGTTCACAAAACTTCCTGCTGTAAGGTACTGGATCTAAATTCTAACCTTTCATTGGCATATCACTAGAAAGAGAATAGCAAAAAGGTCATATGCAGTGAGCCATCCCCTGTCTTACCCCTACCACCCCCCCGGCCCCCCAGTTACCAACTAAATACGTGGAGCCAGAGACAACTGTGGGTGCGGGGCCTGGGGCAAATCAGTCTGTGCAGGGCCCGAGACAAATCAGCTTGTGCGGGGCCCGGACACAGAGGCAGCAGGGGGTGGTGGGGTAGTGAATGGCTGGATGCAAAGCTGGCCCAGCTCTGTGGGGCCCCCCAAAGCATGGGGCCTAGGGCAGTCGCCCCGGTTTCCCCACTCCCCCCCTCCCCCCCCACCAGGTATGGCCCTTCTTCGAGCTCAGTTTCAAGTCCAGTGTCCTAAGGTTTGTTTGTTTTTTCATAGATTCATAGGTTATAAGGGGCTAGAGGGGACCTTGTAGATCATCGGGTCCAGTCTCCCTACACTAGGCAGGAAAAGACAACTGGGGTCAAGTGACCCCAGTGAGGTGACTGTCCAGTCTCCTTTTGAAGATTTCCAGGGGAGGTGACTGCACCACCACTGGAGGGAGTTTATTCCACAATCTGGACACCCTGACTGTGAGAGAGTTTTTCTTGGAACTGAGCCTGAAGCGGCCTTCCACGAGTTTGTATCCATTGCTTCTGGTCTTCCCCAGGGGTGCCCTTGTGAACAGCTGTTCACTGAGTTCTTGATGTACTCCCCTATTGTAGCATTAAGCCACTACCGAGTCCCCTCTCAGCCTTCTCTTCTGTAGGCTGAAGAAGCCCAAGTCCCTCAGCCTCTCCTCATATCACTTGTCTTGCAAGTCCCTGATCATACAGGTGGCTCTTCTCTGGACCCTCTCAAGTTTTTCCACATCCTTATTGAAGTGCAGCACCCAGAACTGGATGCAGTACTCCAGCTGTGGTCTCACAGAGTACAGTGCAGAGTACAGTGGGAGTATCACTTTCTTAGTTTTGCATGATATGCAATGGTTAATGCATGCCAGTGTGTTGTTTGCCCTGCTGGCCACAGCATTGCACTGCCAGCTCATGTTCATGCGATGGTCGATCATTACCCCTAGGTCCCTTTCAGCCATGGTGCAAGTCAAATTTTCGCCACTGAGCGTGTAGGTATGTTGGGGCTCGTTTGTCCCCAAAT